ATGTATATATATATATATGTATATATATATGTATATATATATATATGTATGTATGATTTATATATATGTATATTTAACTATATATATAATTATTAATATTTATATTTACATATATATATATATATTTAAATACACACACACACATTAACGGCCCTAAATAAGGCAAATCACTGCGTGGACGGATTTGCTTTTTCCAGGGCCTGGAAAAAGCAAAAACTCTTTCTCTGTCTCTCTCTCTATCCCCCCTCTCTCTCTCTCTCTTTCCCTCTCTCTCTTTCCCTCTCTCTCTCTTCCTCTCTCTTCCTCCCCCCTTTTGCCAAGGTACGACGCGGAGCCCAATGACAACAAGGACCTTCAGGACAAGAGTTACGAGGTGCCGGGTGTGTGTGTATGTGTTCCCCGCCCCTTCGCTTCCCTCTTACCTCTTCTTCTCTCGTCTTCCGTCTCCGTCTGTCTTTTCTAGCTACTCGAGGCTACCGGCTCCGCGGCGGAGCAGCATATAGATTATAGATATATATATATATATACAGATTATAGATATAGAAGCTTTATAAAGCTTTGGGTTGAACACCTGCTTCAGGCAGCAGGGTCTTAGTATTTAACTTTTTTGAGACCCAACAATCTTTGCTGTTGTGACAGCAAACCACAGAGATAGGACGCTAGATGAAGAGATTTCTGAAATGTTTGTTTCCCCGCAAATATAGGGGCGCAGATTTTAAATAGCTGGATGAATAATGTTTGATACAGTTGGGCACTGTAATAGATACATATAGATGCAGGGAAGGGCATGATAAATAGATACTCACTGAAGTAAATACCTTGTTGCTTCACAGCACACCTGGTGCAACTTTTGCCATGCGCAATTCAGTTTGACCTGCCGGACCAATGAGCCCCCATGGCCAGGAAGAGTTCAAGGACATAGTGGTGCAGCAGACATCGGGATTGAGAATGACGCCAGCAGCTGTGGACACTTTGCAGACTGCTTTTGAGGCTTACGGTACCCAGTTGCTGTATCGCATGAATCTTCTAGCAATGCATCGAGGATGCCAGACCGTTTCGCTGCGAGATTTCCGTACGTTGAAAGCCTTGGATGACGCCAGTCCGGCCGATGTGGCAGATTCAACTTCATCCTCTTCGGCTAAGAAAAGCTGAGTGAGAGTAGGGTAGTTTCCTCACTCTTTGGCTTTGCCGTGGCCATTTGTAGGATTTTTGGGATTTGCGATCCGCAAGCTAGTTGAAGCAGAGATCTCCGCAGGAAGAGACAAGAAACATTTTTTTGAAGCATGAGCATATGGAGGAAAGCTCATTGCAGAACCATGCTGACTTGGATTTTGTTTTACTTTTCTAGAGATTGCAAAAAGCAAATCTTGACTTCAGATTGAGCGTTTCTGAATGTAGCATACCAACAGCTTGATCGAGTGTGACTTTCATGTTTGTTGAGACCCTGCGGTTCAAAGAATTGTGGGGACCTCCGTGAAATGTAGTGGCTCCCTTTTTTCCGGATGCATGGCACCGAATTGGGCGCACGAGTATTTCCATTCGAAAAGGGAAGAGTTGGGGCACCTACGCTTCTGCCAGCTATGTTATGAGCAACAGCCTGAAGTAGAAGAGGTCCTGGAAAAGTTGCGCTCTGGCACGAGCATTGTTCGTGCGTACCCTGGCTCAGTGCACAATGAATCCTCTCCTAGCTCTATGATAAATCACCTTCGGGCCAAGCACCCAGAGGTGGTTCCTGACGACACACCGAAAAAGAGAAAGTCTGATCACCTGGGCGACGTTGGGTCGGAAAAAGTTCAAAAGACAAAATGCAAGGACAAAACTCTGACAAGAGACTGGGTGGAGCACCTCATCATTGCAAATTTGGAGCCTGTGAGGAAAGCTGAAAGCAAGCACATGAGAGCACTTCTGGTTCCGAGGTTAGGCCCACTGCCTTCGCGGAAGGACCTGGACAAAGAATTTGAAGTTGTGGTCCAAGACATCAGAGATGAGGTTGCTGCACGTGTGGCTGAAGCACTGAAGTCAGGTAGCAAGTTTTGCATCTCTGGCGACACTTGGAAAAACAAGGGCCGGAAAAGACGTCACTACTTGGCCTGCTACTTGAACTTTGTGACGGACAACTTTGACCACATTACCTTGTGCGCCGATGTTGTTGAGGCGCCGCCTCCCCGCACAGGACTGGAAACTAAGATTTTTGGGTTTGCTGAATATTCAAAAATAGGAAACCTATTAGCCAGGGCTCGGCGGATTTCACTTCGACGAAGTATTTTGAAAATTGTTGTCTCTAAGACAAAGTAGCGGTTGCCCCGATATGCTTCTATGCTTCTATTTGGCAGGAGAGCGGTATGGAGAGCTCTTTGGGCAGATAGTGTCCAACATGGGGCTGCAAAGCGCTGACTTGGTTTGTGCACTGAGTGACCATGAGTCCTCTATACGCTGCGGGCTGAGAACCTTGCAGTGCCCGCAGGTAGGGTGCGGGGCTCATGGAATACAGCTGGCGATCAAGCACAGCACCCCTCCTTTTCGGCCTCCTCGAAAGAAGCGAGACGCCTCTGCGGCAACCTTGTCAAGCAGCAGCTCCGGCACCTTGGCTTCATCGGTGAGCTTGTTTGCTTTTTTCAAACCTTTAAAAAAGCAAAAATGCTGTCCAACATATAAATGCACGCCCAGGACTGTGCGCTGTTTTTTGCTTTTTCCTAGTCCCCTAAAAAGCAAATCTGTGACGCCGGGCCACAAATAATACATTTTTGGAAAAGCTTGTGTGGATTCCAATGATCAGGTAGTTCTACATCGAGCTCTTCGTCATCCTCCTCTTCCAGCGACGATGAGAATGCAGTTGCTGGACCACAAGTGGCAGAGCCCAAGAAGCGTGGGCGAAAACCGGACGCTGCTGCAGTGGAGATAAAGGGGCTCCTGAAGCAGCCATTCACGAGGTTGTCCTGTGACCAAACAGTTTTACCCCATCAGCCACACAATTTAAAGGCGTTGAGAATGGTGATATCCCACAATTTCAATCATAAGCAAAGGTCTCACCTTGGGTTCTCGGCTCCCTTCCTCCAAGTGGCAGAGGTATCGCTCGATTGCGAAGCATTTTGCCCGACGGGAAGATCATTGGACATATCTTGAGCAAGAAGCCGCATCAGCTTCTTTACCCCTTGTGGCATACCAGTATGAAACACAAACAAGGTGGAGCAGTGCGTTGCTACAACTCATCACTGTCATCCAGAATAACCCTGTGCATGCTTTGCTCAGGACCAGGGCCAACGTTTGAATTTTTTCTCGCGTTCCTTTCACAGATTTCCTACCATTGGGTTCCCTGCTCAGGAACAAGAGGAAGATCGAGGGTCCACCAGAGCTCGATCGATCTGAATTGAAGCTAGCAGTGCAGCTATGCGCTGTTCTGGAACCATTGCGATTAGCGACCCGTTTGATTGAAGCTGAAGATCGAGCCTTGTGTTCTCTCTATCTTCCACTCTTCCACCAATGCAGCGAAACGCTTGGCAAGAATAGGGGAGCCCTTCCCCTGCCCAAGGAATTGAGAAAGGCGTTTGGTGAGAATGTTCAGATCTCTTCTCTTCTGGAGGTGCCAAACAAGCTACGGCTTTTCTTAGCTGCTGATCTCAAAAAAATACGTGAAAGACACTTGGTTGGAACAACTGGTGACGATTTGCTTGCAGTAGCCACGTTCCTGGACGGACGTTTCCAGAAGCACCATGTGTGGCAGTCCATGCTCTCTTTGGAAGACACAAAGAACAAAGTAGCGCAGATGGCGCTACAAGCGTCACAAGACTTTCCTGCGCTAGTTGAACGTTTGCGCAAGCAAGCGCAGGATCCAGTCAATTGGACCCTGGCTGCGTTGGCGAAAGCTGAGGCGGCACCTAAACCACGCGGCCGTGGAGGCCGTGGAGGCCGTGGCAGAGGCCGTGCAAGAGCGCAAAGTGACCCAGCCCCAAAGTCCCGGTGTGCTTCAGAGGCAGCCCTGCAGGAAACAACTCCGAGTGGGCACAATCTAAAGCGGAGGCGCCTTCAGCCACAAACATCAGCTGAAGAATGGCTTTTCGGGCAACCAGAGCAGCAAGAGGAAGAGGTAGTCCTCGCTGATGTGGATGCGGCTCCTCGGTTGCAGAGCTCAGGGATCAAAATTGGAAAGCAAAGACCCATATTCGAAGTGTGGATGCGGGCTTTTTTGCTGTTTTGCTTTTTTCACAGGCCCGAAAAAGCAAATAGGAAATCTTATAATTAACCAAAAAATTCTCTCCAGAATTCAATCAGGCATTTATTTGTGCTGTATAAATACTGTTTTTGCTTTTTTGCAAGAGCTAAAAAAGCAAATGCAATGTGAACATTTGAGCCAGGTCAAGCAGCAGATCTCAGAGGAGTTGACGTGTTATCTGCGCCTCGGACATGCCAGCCAGCTTGGAAGTTCACCCTTGTCCTTTTGGAAGAACCGCCGCAGCGAGCTTCCATTTTTGAGTGCCCTTGCAAGGATTATCTATTCCATCCCTGCCAGTACTGCTGCACTAGAACGATTGTTTTCGGCGGCAGGACGAGCGGTTTGCCACCGCCGTCCTCGCCTGAACGTCCGCAAAGCGGCGAAGTTGATATTCGCTCATGCGAACGTAGCAAGGAACATTACCGGACGAATTGGGGCAAAGAAACCCGTGGAAGAGTGAGTGGAAAATGTCTGCCTCCGATTCTCAACCGGTCTGTAACCGGTTCGTGTTTGCGGTTCGCAGCCCAAACGGTTCGGTTTCCCACCGGTTCGGTTCGGTTCGTGAATATGAACGGTTCCGGTTCGGTTCCTATGTTTTCGGTTCGTTTCGCGGTTCGCGGTTCGGTTCCTGAACCACACTGTCCCTGTCGGTTTTCCTGGTATTTCACTTGGTGTGCTTGAGTCTAGAAGACTGACCAAGGACGTGTCAGGATTCTCAACACCTCCCTCCCTCCCCCTTTCTTCAATTCCACTGCCAAATCAGTAGCCCAGGAATTCACAGTGTGATGTCTCTGCTCTCCAGAGAACAGGTGGCGAAGTCTTGGCATGAAAAGAACCCTAATATTAGTTTCTTTGACTTGCTCTACGCAATTGAACAGCACAAAAGCATTTCGACGGAATACGGGCTAAATGTATCGATTGAGCAGCATTGGCGATTTGGAGACCCCCATAAGAAGACAGCTGCACCGGATCGGCATGACTATGAAATTGCCATGGTCGACGGGCGTGAAACCTTACCTGGACCTGATTGGCACAAGTTGTACCGATGGTTGGTTAGTCAGAGCTCAGCATTTCTGCCCTACCGCACGGTATATCTGGTGACGGACAATCGGGATCTGCAATCCGACAAGGTCAAGTCTGTGCCTGGGCTCAGCCATTGGCCAATGGTCGCTGCTTGGTGGAAAGAACGGCTACGATATGTCGGTCCATATGGCGAACTCACTACAGTTGTCTTTGTCCACATTTCGGCTGACACTGGTCTTCACAAGGTACATCCGACATGTGCTGGGACGTACATCCTTGATGCTTGTGTATTCCTCTTTCCGACCATCAACTTTGCACTGATTGACAGCGATTGTGTGCCGGTGACCCTCTTTGAGATACGAGAACTTTGGCTAGCGAGCACTGACCCAACCCTCCCAGCTACGCCAAGCAAAGTTGCAAAAAGCAAGCTGCCAAGTCCCATTGCATCATCGCACAAACGTGCGCGCTCTGTGGACACGGGCAGGGATATGCAGCAACCTGGCCCACCATCGAAACTGTCCAGATCACATAGTGCTGACCATATTGCAGTCCGAGCAGCTGACCCGCTACGAGCTCCGCCACTTACCTATGGTGTCGATCTGGCAGATGAGGTTGACTACGGGGGTTCACCAGACCCGAGTCCCCGCATGTCTCGTCGGGCGTCGTCCAGCAGCGATGTCTCTTCACCGGCTGGGTCAACCAAACCTGCCCGGAAGGACAAAGCAGCCGAGGATGACACTGCCGCTGAGTGTCGGCCCAAAGGAGTCATCTTAGTGAGTGAGGCATTCACTGAAATTAATGCGGGCCTGGTCATTGTATTAGCTTCAGGTCATGAGAGCCCTGTGCCCATCACTGTATTGGAGGACTCGGATACTGATCCTGATGAAATAGCCCATGTTATTACCCGTGCCTATCATAGACATGTTGAAGCCTATCTTGCTACTACATATCCACCTGTTGACGTTGAGCAAGCAGTCGCTAGTGGATTACTTGGCTCTCCTCTGCTTGGCACGTCCACCCGGGTCACTGCAGATTGGTGCCATGCGTGGAGTGTGTTGGGCCAGTGGTCGGGCTTAGTCACTTTTCCGGTCCCAGCCTCTGGAGTCTGGCCGCGCCACGGTCATCTACGGAGAATCCTTGATGGCTACCAAGGCAGACAACCCAACTTCCACAAATGGGCCCGGCCTGCATATGAGCAAGGAGCTCTTCCGACCCTTAGCCTGTTGCCGGGTGAAGTCAGCGTACGAGTATTACCTGGAGACAAGATGTACCAAGCTATGACGATTGAGCCACATTACATGCGGCCTGTTATCCTGCATGGGTTTGGCACCAATGCCAAGAAAAGAATGCCCAGCAGTCTCGCTGAGCTGGCCCAATTTGGCTGGTTGCCGCTGGCTGCGGCTCTCTTTGGGACACAAGAATGGAAGCCCCAATGGTTGCATCCCAACTTTCTTCCAGTGGTTGGTCTGAGACTGCATGCCAAAGTGCCTCCTGTTCCCCTCTCCCAAGCTCAACTCACATTGCTGTGTGGCCTGTGGCACCGGAAGGAACAATCTGCACCTTCATGTACATCGCTACAGCAGGCAACTCCCCTCGCGTTTGGTCTTCCGTTTCCCTTCAGAGAGATGGCTAAGTGGGAAGTCACCGTCAACGAGCAGGCCATAGATATTGGGGAAGTGTCCAAACAACACTACATTGGGGGGCAACTCGCGGATGCGCTGCCCGTAGCCCTCACAGGCTCTGCAGAGTGGGCCTCCTGGATATTTTCCCTCGCTGACGTCTGGCAAGATGACGCCCCGATGCAAGACCGACCCCTTGAAGTGCATTGCAGTGGACTAGGGGGTGGCCTACTTAGTGGCGAGCATGAATATGATATTTTTCTGCAAAATCTTGCGCAAACCAAGGTGTATGGCCCATCGCTTGCGATGACTGATAACTGGGAAGGCCATATCACCCAGCTTGGCCTTACCAAAACTGTGCATGAGTATGTGATCTATCAGCTACTCTCCACGGCAGAAGGATGGACAGCTTGGCGAGATTTTCTCCCTGAACAGTTCGCGGATCAACAGCTGCTGCTCACGCGAGCGATTCGCCTAATTGAGGCTGCGAATATCAGGCCAGCCCATGCCAGGCCACCACACCCGACCTGGACAACAGCAATCATGCAAATCTTTCGTTGCTACCATCCGCAAGGCAAACATTTATTTCTGAAGTCATGTTTTCCACAGCTAGTCCCCACAGCGGCTACAAGCGGTGGCAGGGATGTCAACGTGCATGGTTTCTCGGCTGGGTCCTACACAGGCCTTGCTGTCCACGAGATCCTGAGTGCGTTTGCTGTGTTCCCTGGCCTCACCAAAGTTGCTGCGATTGCGACGCCCCCAGAGATGCTGCGACTTGCCACTGGCGAGCGCACAGTCACACTGGTGCACTGCCTGGAGGACCGGCTTTGCGTGTGGAAACCTGACTCTCTGACAGAATTCAACTATCAGATTGTCCTGATAGAAGGGCACCCCACTTGGAGTGGACGTGCTAAACACTCCTATGGCCATTTGCTCTTCATTGATCTTGACGAAGGGGTTCATGAAATCCAAAGACTACAAATCACTACCCCGCAAGTCATTCCCCATGGGGTACGTTGCGAGGGTTTGCTGCGTGTACTTTCATGGGTTAGTTTTGACCTTCCGGAACACCTCAAGACAACTCTAAGTTCTCTGTTAGAAGCAGCTGGAGAAGGGAACACTGAACTGCACACAGTGCCCATTGACGGACGGGATATCCGGGATGGCCAGCCTGAAACGGAAGCTGACCTGCAAGCAGCTCTGATTGCGATGATTCCCACACCGGGAGGGTCCCATGCTGAGGGAGGTGTGCTGGTTCGCAACTTACTGGCGGAATTCCTGCGTGGTTTTTCCTTACGCACCCTCATTTTCCTCCTGGACATGGTGTTGCCGCAATTAGACGCTTATCATGCGGGACGGCAACTCCAACATCTCCAGCCTTGGGTCAGTGTAGAACTTGCTCAGCAGAAGAAGCGAGGACAGACTGGAACACGGCTTCAGGTTACCTATCAATATGAGGCGTATGCCGGATTTCATGTCATCCACCTACATACTGATAGTGCTCCACTCCTGTTATTTAGTGCACCTTCCGACGTGCCAGCGCTGTCGCCGCGTGCTCTCTGTGAAGCTGGGAACCTAGGCAACTTGGAAGCGAACGTGATGGCAGGCAGAGCACTATTGGGCATATTCCAGTTGCCAGACAATCAGCAGCGTTGTGTCATAGCACTGGTACATGAGAAGGTGATGTCGAGCGGAACTAGCAAAAACCCTGTTCAAAGAGCGCTCAAGCGCATTGCCCCAAAGTTGCTGGAGCTTGTTATTGTCTCTCTGCCTATTGCTCGGACCTTTTGTGGGCGACTTTTGGACCAGCATCTTAAAACAATGAGTTATTTTGATCCTGCACAGGACTGGCTGAAACCCATTGAAGACCACCCGTCCATGGCCGTCGTTTGGGAAGAGCTGGCCTTTCTAGGAGACACACGCAGCCGCCATGAACTCTTAGTGTTTGCACAAGCCAACCAGTCGCGCCTACCATTGGCAATGGGCATCGTGCAGCCGCATATACCTGTTCGCCGGATGGCTAGCGAGCGCAAAATGCAACTGACTGATGCGTTAGTCAGAATTCTGTGCCGCTTTTTGACACCAGCCGCGATCTTGATGGATGGGGCCTGAACATCTCCTTCCCCTAGCAGCACACGGTGATGGACATGTCTTGACAGTCTCAATTGCACTCTTGCTGGCCATTATGACTGGAAGATCTGACTTATGTATTGCCGGGGTCTTTGGTGCTGGCAAAACGCGGTCCCTGGCGGTCCTGCTCATTGCCTTAAGCTGCGAACTAAATGATTTTGTTGCAATCGTCTACACTAAAGAGAATGTAGCTGCCAAAGCTCTGGCGGATCAAGTGAGTGACCTTGCGCCCCCGACAATCAAGAATTTCGGCAGGCTAATTGGACGCATGGAGGAGGGTAAAGGAGAGGCTTACGCCTCCAAAATTGACGTCCGATGTAGTGACCGTAATCGAATCATCTCACATAAGAATATCCTTATCGCAACAGGTGGCTCAGCTACGGCGGAAATGGCGATGCGCTACTCCACTTTTGGCCATTGGATTTCTCGCACCTGGCTTGCCTTCATGGACGAAAGTCAACAGTATGGCAATTACCATGAGATTGCAGCTCTTGCTGCCATACAACAGCCAATGCTGACTGTCTTCATTGGAGACCACAGGCAAACTCCAGGAGGGCTGTCCAAAGGCCGAGCAGCGGCAGTCAATCGACGTAAACTGTTGCAACGGCCATTGGGGCTTCGAGCACTTGATAAGTCAGGCGACTATTTTCCACCAGCACGAATGGCAGCTCTTGTAGCTCAGCTGTGG